TATCCCGATCACCATATATCAACCTCTTTGCCTTCTCCTTCGTATGTCAAACGGGTTTGTATTTTACATTGTATCCGAACTGGTCTCGAACAGATGCAGCTAACACCGAGCAAGGGATTCTTAGATTTTGTTCAACCAAAACCTTTACATATTGACAAATTACATCGGAGTCTAGTAGTCGGTGGTATTGTTCGATAGAGTTTTGCAAACATGTGTGTGGACCATTGTACCTTGTGATGACCCAAGCATCTTGCCTCTACATTTTGGACACTCTGATCAGCCACTTACACTTGGGCCCATATTTAACACACTTCGCGTAAAAGTTTTCTGGTTTGACTCTGTAACCTTGCAATCTACATGGTCTCTTATGCAATACTCTTAATTGCTAGTGTAGCTTCTTTTTTTCCTCTGTATTACTTCCCAACTGCTAATTCACCAGAGTTATCGGACGAATCAATCATGTAGCCTGAAGTTCAATGTGGCATCTCCAGGAATTCAGGTGCCCTCATTGCTTCATAATCAATCTTCTGCATGTGAGGGGTAGGTTGATACGGTGTCGGATATTCATCAATATTGATATTAGCTTTATCACCATCGAACATGGCATTATCCTCAGCTAAAAGAGGTTCCTCAGTTTCTTCATCTTCATTGGAATCTTCAAGTATTTCTTCCCAGTGGTTTTCAGCGTCATACTCTGCGGCTCCAGATGTTCCACCAACTTCATTTGCACTTTCCAACATCGCCACAAAGCTGTTCATCGACCTATATGTCGGGTTATCGAAATGACTCTCGAAACCCATTTAAGATGAAGTTACAACCGCATTTCTTGATGACCTAAGCACATTAGATATATTACACAGCTCAACAAATAACTCAATAATTGGAATATTTGTTGAATCATGTAATTCAACCATAGTTATAATATCATCATCTTCTTCAAGTGGTACTGCAACATACCTAACCGGATTGGGACATACCATAAATCTGTACCTCAAACCATCAACTTTAGCACATATTTTTCTTTTTATCCTCTCCTTCATCTCTACAAATGTGATGTCCCTTTTAAACATCATATTTATAGGTGTTTCAGACTGAAAAATAACCCCGACCTCATTTTCCATCATATGTCCATTATAATGAACAATCTTGAAAAATTTGTTGCTCTTTTTCTGTAACACCCCAACCCGTACCCGACCCGGATACGAGTCCGATATGTCACATTGACTTTTTAAAACAATTTTCTTACAAAATCACAAAACATTTTAACTCATATTAAGAAAATATGATAATATATTATTGAATTAAACTCGTTATAACCAATTTAAGAAAGTATATGTTTTATGAACATAAATACGGTGCTACAGTAACCTGCTACAGTGCAATGCATAGATGCATTGCTACAGTGCACCGATGCATAAAACTTCTAATGGCAATTGTGCATCGATGCACTGCTACAATGATTTTCGTAAATTGTACATAATGCTCCTAAAAATTTAACCGTTCATTTCTTTGCATTTATACTTACATAAATACATTTAAAATATTACAAAACTCGATCAGAGCATAAATACTTAATTTACTGACTTGGTTTACATGCCAACCTATTTTCACATAATAATACATACGATTTAATCTACTTCTAATCTGACCTTCAAGTGGAGTTATATTGTTCTGTTGAGCTTATAATAGATCTCTCTGCTTTTCGGTACCTACGTGTAAAATCACTTACACGCTAAGTCATAGACTTAGTGAGGCATAATAATTAAATAAAAAATAATGCCATAATAAGATGAAATGTAATGAAATCATATATGCAATCCATGTAATCTGCATAACAATATATCTTACCAATAATTTCATCAAATTAACCATCATGAATTCATGTAACAAGTTCAAAAGGTTCAATAGCCCATGATACAATACTGAGAACCCGAGGTATGTGAGTACTGTGAGGTTGTGCACTATGCTGTCACCACAGCTCGTATAAATTTGCACCAAAATTCCACGTAGAATTTGTCCCGAAGGACCGCGTAGAAATACACCGAAGTGCCACGTAGAATTGCACCGTAGTGCCATATAATATGTCCCTTATGACCACATAGAAATTCCTTAAGAATCATATACATATACCAAGGATCAAATAGGTGTCTCAAAAGACCTCATACATGTTCCAAAGAATACATATATGTCCCGAAGGACCACGTAGAATTTTGTCCCGAAGGACCGCATAGACCCTCTACTCTTGGCTTGCCAATTTTACCTATAGTTCATATCTACATAACCTGGGCTTTCACAGTTCACATAGTTCATATCGCTAGACATATTATTTCCAACTTTCATCACATACACACATCATTTCCATACCTTTATCACATAGCTCATATAACTTTTCCTGCATATTCATGTCACATAATACATATAATATGAATTCATGTCATGTATCATAATATGGAATGTGATCATGTGTCAAAATATTGAATATAGACTTATCACAAGTCTAGAATGGAATATACTACTATATTCATGCTATGCATATGCACTCACCTATATTTCCTTGCCTTTTCCTCGATTGATCTTACTTGTCACTTGTTTCGGAACTTGTTTAGGCTCGATATCTACAGAATTATAATTTTTAAAACCATTATAAGAAGTCTAAACCTTATAATTCGATACTAATAACTTTAACTAATTTAATGAACCCAAAATTCAATTTTCCTTTAGGGGTGTACCGATGCACTACTGATGCATTATATAAAAATAAAATTAAAAATACAACTAAAAATTACATAAAAATTTAAATTAACAATAATACTCAAACTTAAATTTTCTGTATCAAACTTACATTTTCTAATTTTAAATTAACAATAATACTCAATCTTAAATTACATTACTTTGGTCTCGTGAACAAAATTTAAATGTATCATTCTCCTGATTTCTACTAACATATATGAGCATTCTTTCAACAGGGAAAAATAAACGGAGTTCACATGGGAAATGAGAAAGAACTTACATTTTTTAAAGACGTTAAACCAAAGCTCGGAAAATTATCGAACCCACAAAAATCTTCAATATCACTGAAAATCCACTTCAAGCAACAACTCTAATTGAATCTAATGCAAAAAAAAAAATCACGATCCTCACTTGCTTTTGTAAGTTAAAACCAACTCATGCATGCAATGAAATTCAATCCCCACCCCTATTTTATAACAAGTCGGTGCACCAATTATTGGTCTAATTATAATATCATCCCTGCAGTTGTCTTGAAGACCCCGGGAAAAAGCATTATTGGTCTGGTCGGGTGCAAACGTATTATTGGTCTCAACGCATGCATAACAAATCTCACGCTTCGACCCCAACGCATGCATAACGAATCTCACACTTCGGCCAGTGAAGACACCGAGCATTTATTTTTCCCTTCGCATGGAAGACGCTGAGAGATCCATTTTCCCATGCTTGAAGACGCCGAGCATTCCCCCGAGCGTGCATGTAAGACACTGAGCATTCCAAGTTGGCAAAGAAATTTTTGTGTTGAAGACGCCGAAAGATCCCTTGAACAAATAGCCCTGAAGACGCCGAGAGATCCTAAGCACGCTTGTCACCCTGTAGCATTCACCCCATTTAGGGAAATAATCGAGTAACTGCATTATTTTGGGGGGGAAATATTCCCACATGCATTATCTGGGCACTTTTGTCGGATAATCTCAGGTTTTATTTTCCAGCCTCTTTAATCCTCAAATTCAAGAGCCCTAGTTTCTCATTCTTTCCTAAATCTTCGTTGTCCAAATCCATATCAGCAAACAAATTCAAAATCGCATTAAAAAAATTGATGGTGAGGTTCATTTGGGAGCACCTAAGACTATCGGTTATGGGGAAGGTTTTGAGAGTTTGCCGTCATCGTTGGTACTTTCATCTGAAGTTCCTAGTGGAACCAAATTAAACGCGGTTGACATGGACCTTCACTTGAGTAGACCTGAAGCTATTAAGGTCAGGGAATATCATGTCTGGTCACTGTTCATTTGAGAAACAGGTTCTTGGTGAAGCCACTATGAACGTGTCTGACGAAGAAATTCCGAAAAGTATATCTGAGATTGCAACTTCCTGTGGTGGAACAGATAGTATTGATTGCACGAAATCCACTGAATCTAGAGAACAAATACATTATATTGATGCATGCTCTATGCCTGCTAAAGAGGTCTCTTTGGCAGAATATAATGGTGGTAATGTCCGAAAAGAGAATGATGGAACAAATCCCATGGAAAATGACCAGCAGGATGGTGTACTATGCATTATAAACGGGGAATCTGAACTCCGAGAACGTTCATGAGATCTGGTATATAAGATTTTTTGTTGTTGTCAAGTTTAAGTACATGTTCTTTTTGGACTATTTCTAGCGAAAGCAGTTCCTTATGTTGCCATTTCACGCCCCAAAAGTAAAGCAAAATAGTTACGATAAAGTAATACATCTATAATATTTTGGCTTACCTACATTGTGCTTAATTTAATTTATACATGTGGCAAGGAGATTGTTTTAAGATTTGAAGAGGTCATACTTTTAATACCCTGCTATGGAGATCTCACAATCTAGTAACAATATCTTATTTTGCAGGTATTCACAAATGTCGATTCTCTTCCATATGCTTCCTCTGAAGTGGAAGCAGGATGCCTTGCAAACAGAGAAATGCAAAATGCTTCCCAGGCAGCTGAAAATTCTGATGCCACAGTTGTGGGACATACAGAGCAAATGCAGCAGATGAGAACCTCTTATCAACTTCTAACCTCTCTCCTCCCGATCTACCTTCTGTTTTGTGCAGTTGAGCATCAATCAAACAATGAAGGCCAAACTGCCAACGAAAGTTCTCAGGCTCCAAGGCAATCATTGGGAAACCATATCGAGCTTTCCAATCAAGATGTCTTGTTGCCTCTGGATTCCCCAATTGATGGTGATATAGATGGGCTTGTTAGGTAGGCTTTAGAAACAAGGGAAGCTTCAGTCCCATCTATTTCTAATGACTTTCCCCTGCGGACTATGTTAAAAGTCATCATGGGCGGCTAATCTTCTAGATGACAACCAACTACTTTGATTTAATTCAAAGATGGTTGCATTTTATTGAAAAGTCAAAATAACAAGTTGTAAATTTTAGGTGGCTTTCGGTGGTGCAATTAATGCACCGAAAAGTAGCTGAAAAATGTTGAAATTTGGCATGGTAAAATCACTCATTTAATCACTAAACTTTAGGTATTTACAAATTAGTCCTTAGGCTTCAACTATAAATACCCTAGCCCATTTAGCTTCAAAACCATCCCAAAGCATTCTAGCTTTCTTCCAATACTAGAGAGAATTTAGAGAGTTTATTGAGAGTTGTTTTCTCCTTTTTATCAAGAGAGAATTATCATTGTTTTCTCCTCGGTAGATTGAGAGAAGTTATAATTCCTATTTTCTCATAGTAAAATTCTTCTACAGTTGCCCGTGGTTTTTACCCTATATTATTTAGGGGTTTTCACGTAAATTTTGTGTCTCTTTTATCTTTATTTTTATTTTCTCAAATTATTAGTTGCGATTTTGCTCTATCCGATAGCCGTCTTCCGCAATAATTGATATTAGAGCCAGATTAGAGTTTGCAATATCTGCTTATTGTCTTTGTGGTTGCCACTAAAAGGTGATCCTCCAACATAAGAAAGTAAGAAGTTATTACCCATTCTTTGAAGGTTCCAGAGAACTATTCACTATAGTGAAATAGTGGGAGTTATCCGTAAAAGAAACTATGGAAACGAAATTTGATATTGGAAAATTTAATGGGAGAGATTTCTTATTGTGGAAATTGAAGATGAAGACTATCCTGAGGAAAGACGGTTGTCTAGCAGCTACCACTGAAAGGCCAGTGGATTTCATAGATGACAAAAATGGATCGAAATGGACGGGAATGTTATGGCAAACTTTCATCTAGCATTAGCAATGAAGTATTGTCAAGCATTGAGGAGAAGAAGACAACTAATGAGATATGGGATCATCTCACCAAATTGTACGAGGCCACATCACTTCACAATAAAATTTTCCTTAAGAGAAAATTGTACACTCTCCGTATGCCAGAATCTACTTCAGTGACGGAGCACTTAAATACATTGAACACTTTATTTTCTCAGCTTATATCCTTAAGCTGTAAAATAAGAGAACAAGAACGTGCTGAACTTCTACTTCAAAGTCTACCAGATTCGTATGATCAACTCATCATCAACTTGACAAACAGTAATGTCACCAGTCTAGTCTTCGATGACGTTGCAGCTGCTGTTCTACAAGAAGAAAATCGGCGCAAGAACAAAGAAGACAGACAAGTAAATCTGCAACAAGCATAAGCGTTGACAACAACGAGAGGGAGATCAACAGAACGTGGCCAAAGCAGCAGTCATAAACATGGTAGATCGAAGTTGAGGAGCAAGAAGAATTTAAAGTGCTACAACTGTGGAAAGAAGGGTCACTTGAAGAAGGAATGTTGGACTCTAAATAAAAACTCCAATCTACAAGGCAATACCGCAAACACTTCAGATGATGGAGATGCTCTATGTTGTGAAGCGTCAACCACCGTGGAAGAGCAGAAAAGATTTGTAGATATATGGTTCATTGATTCAGGAGAAACATATCACATGACCTCAAGAAGAGAATGGTTCCATCATTATGAACTTGTCTCAAGAGGATCTGTGTATAGTTGCAATGATCATGCCTTAGAGATCATTGGTGTGGGAACCATCAAATTAAAGATGTATGATGGAACAATTAAAGTTGTTCGAGATGTGCGGCATGTGAAAGGCCTGAAGAAAAATTTATTATCCTACGGATTGTTGGATAATAATGCAAGCAAGATTGAAACACGGAAAGGAATCATGAAGGCGTTCCGTGGAGCGCTTGTGGTGCTGAAAGGCGAAAAGATAGCAGCAAACTTGTACATGCTGAAGGGAGAGACTTTGCTAGAAGCAGAAGCCTCTGTTGCCTCATATAGTTCAGATTCTGCAATGCTATGGCATCAGAAACTTGGACACATGTCAAAACAAGGAATGAAAGTCCTTGTGGAGTAAAAGCTACTTCCAGGCTTAACAAAGGTATCACTTACCTTGTGTGAGCATTGCATAACAAGTAAGTAGCACCGGTTGAAATTCAACACGTCAAATTCTAGAAGCAAAAGTGTTCTAGAATTGGTTCACTCTGACTTATGGCAAGCACCGGTTATATCCCTAGGCGGAGTAAAACACTTTGTCTCATTTATTGATGACTACTCTAGGAGATGTTGGGTGTACCCTATTAAGAAGAAGTCAAATGTGTTTTCAACTTTCAAAAACTTCAAAGCGCGGGTGGAACTTGATTCTAGAAATAAGATCAAGTGTTTCAGAACAGATAATGGAGGAGAATACACAAGCGAAGAATTTGATGACTTTTGTAGGAAAGAAGGTATCAAAAGACAGTTCGCAGTGGCGAACACTCCTCAACAAAATGGAGTGGCAGAGCTGATGAACAAAACCTTGTTAGAAAGAACAAGAGCAATGTTGAGGGATGCATGCCTAGAAAAATCATTCTGGGCAGAAGCAGTCAATACCGCCTGTTATTTGGTGAATCGAGCTCCATCAACTGCAATAGAGCTGAAGACACCAATGGAGATGTGGACTGGAAAACCAGCTGATTATTCTAACCTCTATGTATTTGGAAGTATTGTGTACGTGATGTACAACTCCCAAGAAATCTCAAAGCTGGATCTAAAATCCAGGAAATGCAAATTCTTAGGGTATATTGATGAGTCAAGGGGTATCGCTTGTAGGATCCCACTGCCTGCAAAGTGATCATCAGCAGGGATATTATCTTTGTAGAAGATAAACTACAAAGAAAATAAGATGATGATAGTGTTGAAAAGTCAAAGACTACACAGATACATGTGGAAAAGGAGGTTGAACAAGGAGATTCTTCTGAAGCAGAACCAGCACATGATGAACAAGTACCAGAGAGTTCTGAAGCTCCAACAACTCGTCAATCAAATCGTGTGAGAAACATCTCAATTGGCACTCAGATTATGTTATAGAAGGTAATATTGCATACTATCTTTTAACAGAGGACGGTGAGCCATCAACATACCAGGAGGCAATAAACATCTAAGATGTTTCACTGTGGATGATGACGATGCAAGAAGAAATCGAAGCCCTTCATAAAAATAATACATGAGACCTTGTGCCACTGCCACAAGGAAGGAATCCAATTGGTAACAAATGGGTCTTCAAAATCAAGCGAAATGGTGACGATCAAGTGGAGAGGTATCGTGCAAGACTGGTGGTCAAAGGATATGCTCAAAAAGAAGGTATTGATTTCAATGAAATATTTTCTCCTGTGGTTCGACTAACAACAGTTCGAGTAGTTTTGGCAATGTGTGCTACACTGAACTTACATCTAGAGCAGCTAGATGTTAAAACAACTTTTTTTTATGGAAATCTTGAAGAAGATATTTACATGCTCCAGCCTGAAGGTTTTGAAGAAAAAGAAAAGAAGAACTTGGTTTGCAGGTTGAACAAATATCTGTACGGTTTAAAGCAGGCGCCGAGGTGTTGGTATAAGAGATTTGATTCCTTCATTATGTGCCTTGGATACAACAGACTTAATACAGACCCTTGTGCTTATTTCAAGAGGTTTGGTGATAACGATTTTGTTATATTGTTGTTGTATGTGGATGACATGTTGGTTGCAAGACCCAACAAAGATCATATTGAAGAATTGAAGGTACAACTGGCTAGGGAATTTGAAATGAAGGACTTGGGATCAGCAAACAAGATTCTAGGGATGCAAATTCATCGAGACAAAAGTAATAGAAGATTTGGCTTTCATAAAAGAATTACTTGAAGAAGATCTTGTCACGATTCAGCATGCAAGATTGTAAGTCAATTTCTACCCTCTTCCTATTAACTTCAAATTATCCTCCAGTATGAGTCCTAGCAATGAAGAAGAGAGGATGGAGATGTCTCGAGTACCGTATGCATCAGCAGTGGGAAATTTAATGTTCGCTATGATATGCACAAGACCAGACATTGCACAAGCAGTGGAGTGGTTAGTCGGTACATGGCGAATCCAGGCAAAGAACATTGGAATACAATGAAAAGGATCCTGAGATACATCAAAGGGACCTCAAATGTTGCATTATGTTACGAAGGATCAAACTTACTTATCAATGAGTATGTCGATTCTGAATATGTAGGGGATTTTGATAAAAGCAAATCTACTACAGGATATGTGTTCAAAGTTGCTAGTGGAGCTGTAAGCTGGGTTTCAAAATTGCAGTCAGTTGTGGCTACATCCACAACAGAGGCAGAATATGTAGCAGCTACACAAGCCAATAAAGAAGCAATTTGGTTGAAAATGTTATTGGAGGAGCTTGGGCACAATCAAGAGTATGTCTCTATGTTTTGTGACAGTCAAAGCGCCTTGCATCTACCAAGGAATCTAGCATTTTATTCGGGAAGAATGAACGGTAGATATGCAGAAGATCCATACCAAAGACAACATAGCAGATTTCATGACGAAGGCGATCAATGCCGATAAATTTACTTGGTGTTGATCCTCTTGTGGCCTGTCAAGACGTAAGCAACATGAAGGTACAAGGTAGAAAGAATGGTGTGAAGATATGATTGTTCCAATCAAATCTTCAAGTGGGAGATTGTTAAAAGTCATCATGGGCGGCTAATCTTCTAGATGGCAACCAACTACTTTGATTAAATTCAAAGATGGTTGCATTTTGTTGAAAAGTCAAAACAACAAGTTATAAATTTTAGGTGGCTTTCGGTGGTGCAATTAATGCATCGAAAAGTAGCTGAAAAATGTTGAAATTTGGCATGGTAAAATCACTCATTTAATCACTAAACTTTAGGGTATTTACAAATTAGTCCTTAGGCTTCAACTATAAATACCTAGCTCATTTAGCTTCAAAACCATCCCAAAACATTCTAGCTTTCTTCCAATACTAGAGAGAATTTAGAGAGTTTCTTGAGAGTTGTTTTCTCCTTTTTATCAAGAGAATTATCATTGTTTTCTCCTTGGTAGATCGAGAGATGTTGTAATTCATATTTTCTCATAGTGAAATTCTTCTACCATTGCTCGTGGTTTTTGTTTTCACGTAAATTTTGTGTCTCTTTTATCTTCATTTTTATTTTCTCAAATTATTATGTGCGATTTTGCTCTATCCGATAGTCGTCTTCCGCAACAGACTGCACCTGCTGTTTCATCTCGGATGCCTTTGACTTTGTATCATGACCCTCTTCAAATTGAAATGGAAAGAATAATGAAAGAAAAAGAGCGAACCACCAAGATTCATGAAGATCGGTTACTCTCCTTTCATCAGAAGCTGCAGCTGAAATTGGAATGTGACAAGGAGATTGAGGTGGTTGTAGCTAAGATTAGTAGAAAGTATGATGTTACAATAAAGGAGAAAGAAGCAGAGTTTCTTCTCCAAGAAAAGGAGCTTGATGTAAATTACGGTAAAGTTCTCCTGAATAAGATTTTGGCTAAGACATTCAGGTCTATGGATATTACGGCATCTGGTTCAGTGGTAGCAAAGCAAGGTGAATCATGCATTTACTTGGCAGTTTTAACAGAGTTCATGGGAGAAAACAGAATTATATCGATGATCTGATTATCTACTTAATTCAAATTCCATGCACTGGTGCTTGGTCAGATTAGGGTACCTGCTTAATCACAGATCTGTTGAGTGATCATTTTTGGGACACGGCATAGTTTTAGTCACTTAAGAAAATTTAGAGGCAGTTCTTTTACCACTGCTTGTTAAATTGCAAGTTTAAAGAGAGTGCCTGTTAACTCTGTGCGTGCTTTTGGGCGTATGGACTATTGTCCATGTGTGCAAGAAATGATTGCTAGAAAAGCTAATGGAACCTACAAATACAGATGCCTTATATGCATGCATGTAATAAAAAAGTTTCCCTTCTGCAATGTTTCATTATGCGAACCGACTTAACTAGTGTGTGTTTTTACTTGCAGATGCAAGGTCTAACTTCTTGCAGCAGGTGTTTCAACTTTCTTCGCAACAGATGATACTACAGCCTTCCGCTGCTTCTGGTTTCCCTTCGACTGACTCAACTTCTTGTATACCAACTGTTTCATCTGCTGCAGTCAATGCACAAACCATGGTCCTACTTTGCAGCCTTCCACTGCTTCAGGGATCCCTTCAACAGGCTCAGCTAGTAGCATGCAAACTGCTTCTCCAGCTGTAATTGATGCACAAACCATGGGTTCACCTTTGCAGGTTGATAACCCATCGGCATTTTTCTCTGGCACTCCAACTAGACCTCCCCGTATCAGTACCATCTCCTCTTCAACAGGAAACCCTCAAATAGGCACTGATATTCGTGTTCCTGCTCCACATTTGCAGCCATTTAGGCCTTCATCATCCATTTCCCCAATTAGTCTCCGATTGCATTCTGGTGGAATGTCAAGTCCGCAGGCACATGATAACCACCCTGCACCTTCTATGTCTTTGCGCCAGTCGTATGTTAACCCCCCGTACACAGGCAGGCATCAACTACAGGCCAATCGGGTAGCACCCAACATGTAAATTGCTGGAGGGTTGACAGCTCCACCCAACTTGCTTTTACCTTCATCAGATGTTTTAACGGGTGTAAATCCGTCTGGTGCCGGTCCAAATCCCCCAGGCTTTTTGCTGTCTGATAGTAGCTCAAGGTGGGCTATGAGGTTCCATCGCGAATCTCACGTGCCAAGTAACTCATCACAGCAAAGTGAAGGAGCAACTGACATTATTTGTTTAGCTGATGATGACTAACCCTAACTAGGAGGTAATGTTGTTTAACTTAGATCCACTGTTCGATCCTATCAGTTTTTTTTAGCCAAGAGGGCTTCTAAATTGATAGGGCTTCTAGTGTAGGGTAAGAAATTGATAGGGAATTGGCAATGGGGCCTGGCTTTTTGTGGACGAATATATTTTGTGGTGAATGGTTATTTAACTTCATATTTTCTTTTAGTTACCACTTCCTATATTTTAAAGGTGTGTGAAATAAGAATGCAGCATCGGATCAAATTTCAATCACATCCCTCACCTGTCGTCAACCAACGAACCAATCCCAATTGAATGGATGTGTAAAAAAATGGTTAGGTCTTGCAAATTTCTCTTTTAATTTTTTAAACTAATGCATGTAAGGCCTTACTCTCAACATACAAATGGCGTACACCGCAGGCAGTGAAGACTGAAGATCCTCATCATATAAACTATAATCTCATTCAAGCATACCCAAATTTGGTAAATGTCGACTTAAAACTTTTGATCAAAGTTGGGTTTTACATCCAACCAAACAAATAAATTTCTAAATAATTTTATTGAACAATTTTCTATTCCTATTATATTTCTTTCTAGCATGCCAAAATACTTTTAGCGGGAAAGTAATTTTGTGTTTGTGATTTTTTTTCCTGTTACTCAATTTAAGGGGATTCCGAAATAGCTTACCATTCTTAGGAATATTAGAATTGAATTGAATTTGGTAAACCCCATATCATCGCATGATATTGATGAGAAATTTAGGCAGCTGGTTGTTTTGACTTTGAAGCCCTACTCCATCTGCTGCCTCATCGTCACAGATTTCAGTCTTAGACCAAACTTTCCTATTCTTATCCTCAAATAAATACTAAATTATTACTCGGTGGGTATTTGTTGTTGCTTCTCGTGCCATCGTCAAAAGGAAAGATCTAAAGAGCTGTAGTATAGAAAATATAACAATGCCAAATGTCTTGCTTCTAAATCCATATAACGGGATTGCTTATTGTGTAGACCTGTTTGTCTTTGACCTGGACTAACAATGATTAAGTTAGAAGGAATGAAGTGTATTTGTTTACACAAATTATCTTTATCTTAACATATTGGTGTCAACTGCATCCACAGGCTTCAAAACTATAAGACTACCTATGAACCACGTACAATTCATTCAACTTCATCCAGAAATCACAGAAAAAGTAAAAGACTTTTTGGGAATGTGATTCTCAACTCAGGAATGCCATTGACCTTTTTAGTTTTGGAAAAGTAGCAAATCCACTAAGTGAGGCAGAATTAGGGTAGTCCTTACAACCTGTCACCACTATTCAAACTTTCCCGCTCCCCATCAATTAGATGTTAGGTCTAAGAGCATTGAAAATGCATCTTTCGGAGTTTCCGTCCACCCATAATTACATGCATGTTTCCTGTCTTCCATTTCAATCAACCTAACCGCCGACTACGGAAGTGAGAGAAAAAAGATAGAAGCCAATACACAATCATTTACGGGATTCAACTAATTATGCTTGCGTCCAGTTTTCTGCTTATATCAAACTTAACTAATCCTAAAATACGTTTAGATACTAAATAAATAAGAGGTTAAGTTTCTTAAATAACGTTTAGATTTCATATATATAAAAAAAATTGAGATTAAGAGAATTATTTCGTAATCGACAAAATTAAATATCGAACATTCTATCAATAATTAAATGAAATGAAATCCATGCAGATATGGTTTCGAAGTAACCAAAGTCAAATAAGTAGAGTTTCAAAGAAGTGACAGGATAAACTAAGTAGAAAAAGAATGATAAAGCATGTGAGATTGTCTATAGGGAAACAAGCAAGGGGGGTTATACTAAACGTATGTTGTCTTACTTCCTAAGTTGTTTATGTAAATTGTGTTTATTTTAGTTGCAAAAGTTATTCCTCCCTGCAAGATAACATGCACAAGGGACCCAAGACAGCAGGATCCATCTTTCGTTATTTAACTCCTTTTGAGACCCCATTTATGTTTCCAACTTGTTTCCCGTGTCTACCGTGAGTGGTTGAGAGAGTAAAAAAGAATCGTATTTGTGGGTCATTTTATAACCCTAAATTTCCTACGCTTTATGGGGCAAAGTCAACAAAAATATTGCAGGAAAATGCAGGCTTTTCCCAAGGGTAAACACAATCAAATACTGTGAAATGGCTTTAAATTATTTAGTTAAGCAAATTCTTTGAACATATACAATACCATGGGGGTGATGAAACTTGTTGGCATTCGGATCCCAACAAACCAATGGTTGGTGAAAGCATAGTCCAAAAATATAATAATATAACACTTTGATTTGCAATTGGGGAGTGGACCCATTGTCCAAACTCCAATTGCCATGAGTGGCCATTGTTTTGAAACCACCCATTTTTGTCCTCAACCATCACAATCACCGTTACCATTTTCTCTACCCCATTAAATTTTGTTTTATAACTTAATTAAATTTAAATTTTAGAGTTGGTCATAATGTTATGATAAAGATGTTATATCGATATTTTAAATCGAATAAATTAGATTAGAAAGATTATTTCATAATGAATTAAATATAAGTGATTATAAAATATATATTAATACACTGTACATTAAAACTGTTAATAACACTATTAACAAGTGTTAGACATAATGATAAGATACCTTCTATTTTCATTTAGAGAATTTCAAAAATAATATTAATGGAAAGAGGGTTGACAACTGTTAAATAAACTGGTTGTTGGTAGTCGGTGTGCATAGTGATCTGTTACTTAAAAAAATGTTTATATTATAGAAAGTTTAATTATTATACCTTTTTTAAATATGATTTGTTATGAAATAAATAACAATTAGGGCAAATGTAAACTTAAAATAAAATATAAATGTTCAAAATAAAGCATACATATTAGTTCTTATTGTTTAAACTATATTCATTTAAAAATAAATATTTAAATTACAATTTTTAGATATATAATTTTTTAAAATGTGTGAGTAACGTTTTATTCTATAACTATTTTTAGGTCGTCCGTTAAAAAATATCTTATTTCCTCAATGGATTCTTCAAGTCTTACAATTTTTTTACCCAGCTAATTTTTATAAGCACAACTGAAATGGTTTGAGACTATTTCTTTTAGAGTTTGAGTAATGATTTCACTTTTTTATATATAATTTGTCTCAGTCAAAATATTTTTAGAGTTAATGATTTTTTATTTCGTATAAAAATAAAGACGAAGAGGTATAGATTGAAATTAATGTACAAAAGATAGACATATTACCAAAACTAAATTTTTTAAAACTCAAGATTATTCTATTTTTCAAAAATAGATTAAATTTTAAAATACTTTTTAAATCTAAGAGAAAAAAAAAGAATAAGATTGTTAAGAATTCTTTTCGATCTACCTTCATGATTTTAAAAATATATGCATAAGAAAAATATAATCTTAGAATAAAATTGAAAGGAAAATATCCATTATCCAACAATTTTAATTGATTTTGGAAGTCAAAAACACTAACTTTATGCTTTTGCATCAAACAATAAATAAAACAGTGTGCAAGACAAAGAAGTTTTGGATTTTGCATCGAGTTCTTGACCAGCCATCATCTATGAAAATGACTACTAAGTTGATTCTTTTTGGACCGTCTTAATTAACAACTTTGACTAATTGGATTCCACACTAACCACACAACTGTTATGAAATTGTAAAATTCATATTAATGTTGTGAATTCTTTCTCATTCAAAATGTAACTTTTGAATAAAAACTCATAAACCATCGATAAAAAATATAAACATAAATTTTTAAAAGAATATAAAAGGCGAAATATAACGAGGCAACGTGGGTTTAGATTAATAAAAAAAAACCTTGAAAATCAGAATAAGAAAAAAAATATAACGTGGCAATAAATTGCATGAGATGGCCGGCATCAAGGAAGCGGGAATCATATATTTTATGTTTTATTTCAATAGTATAATAGAAATAGTTTTTATTTTTTATGTAAATATTTTGAATGAAAATTTTAATTTGATAAAAATAAAACATATTACATAAATAATTTGATATAATTTATTTTTAAATAATATTATCTTCTTTGATTAAGTACAATATTCGTATCAGATAAATCAAACAAGGTCTATCAAATAAATCAAATAATATAATATAACATTATCAGTTTCTCATTCATTTCAAGAATCTTATTATTAGATATAACCATATTTAAATTAATCATATTAAATAACAAAATATTTTATTCCATTAAAATGATATTAAATTATAAAATCTTTATATGTCATTTTTAAATAATTATTAGATAAAATATACTTAATTAATAATTATAAACATTAGGACCTATAAATATAGTATGATATTAAGTAAGGATAAATTAATTATCATTTTAAATCTCAATAGACATTTTAATTTTACAAGTAAAATTAAACGAACAATATGGGTTTGTTTTATTTATTTTTATTTTTAACATGATTTAAAGCACACGCTAATTATTTATTCATTCAAATATTTTTTTTTCAAATTACAATTTAAAAAGATGAATAATTGTTTGAATATTACTCATTTTAATATCCTTTATTTGAATTCTATTAGTTTTGACTTTGAGTGGAAGTATATCAAATATCCCAATCCTTTAACAACTTTTTAAAAAATAGAAACTTTAAATTAATACTAGGTAAATTAATAAAATCTTTAAAATAATAAATTTGTCCGGTTCCGACTTGGGTCAATGTAAAAAATTTAAAAACTCGATAAAATAATAAGATAATAATTTTTCGTGAGATCCCTTTATAATTTTCGGTCCCAAGAAAATCATAAATTAATAATTCATAGAAACTGAAAAAAATATATTACACTCTATTGAAATATGATTCAATAGTTGTATGTTTTCTTTTAAAGTTTAAGTCTATTTGGAGCTCATTATTAATTTAACTCATCTCTTGCAACGTAATTCTAAGAGACATAGATTAATTTGTCTTTTTGTTTGGTATGTACAGTATAATTACTTAAAAATCTTTAAATTAATAATTATTAATTTATCAATAAATTAATAATTCTCTAAATTAATAAATTTCTCCGATCCTGACATTATTAATTTATAGAGTTTTAACTATAGATACAAATTTGGATAATATAGGAATAAAGATATAATCGTATTTTAACAACTCAAGGAAAATTAAATCTAAAGATTCATAGATCCAATTACCGAGTAATAATCAGCGGTGTAATTATTATATTCCAAATCAAATTGGTTAATAAAAAAAAAAAAGCTGCAAATTCTCCCAAAACCAAAAGGTCAAAAGCTTGAAATAACCTCACGTGTAATTCACGCAGAACCCCTTATATATTATATTTACAACTAAAATCCTCAAAACAAATGCTTGCCTTCTTTTTTCATCTTACAACTGCTACAATTTATTTTCAACCAGAATGCTACCTCTGCCTCACAGCTTCTTCATCTCCGGTTTCCCACCCTAAACACAAAATCTTGAAACTGAAAACACAAAACCTTTCTTCTTCTTCTTCTTTTTTCCTTTTGTTATCATGGGGAGTACATGGAGGAAAGCAAAGTTGGCTCTTGGCTTGAACATGTGTTTGTATGTACCACATCAAAAGCTTGAAGATTCATCTCCATCATCATCAACATCAGCATCAGCATCCATTAAGCATCATCGTGATACTGCTAATGTTCCTTCAAGGTTGTCTTCAGATGCTGTCCCTCTCTCTCCTGTTTCTCCTTCAGGCGAAGACTGCCGCCGCCCCTCAACTCCCACACCTTCCTCTTCCGGTCTCCGGGTCTCAAAATCCGCCCCTAAATCTTCCAAGGTCTGCATTTGCCTTCATTAAATATATATATGATAAAGTGGTATATTTTTCTATGTTTTTTTATATTCTAAAGTGGATTTTGTTGCTAATTTCTGTTGATTTTTTTAATAATTTGATTTGCAGATGCAGTTATGGTTTTGTGATCTTATTGTTTCTTTTCTCTAACCAGATCTTTAGAGTAAATTCTGGTTGTAAGTGATTAGCTTATTTGTTTTTCTAAGTTAACTTAATCCAAGACTTTATTTTTTTTAATTTTGATTCTTGAAGGATAATGGTATTTATCTCTACAATATTTTGGTACAAACTACTGTCAGTCTCGATCATGTACCCTGCCTTTAGATCTAATTTTCATATTGAATAGTGTGATTTTACACATGGACTAAGAATGTTTGTGGAGGGATAAAATATTGCACTAATGTTAAGAACTATTACTATAATTAATGTTGTTCAATTTGAACATTGAAGGCTTTCTTATCATGTGGGTGTGGGGTAGGGATGGATGGTGGTGGAGTGTGTGATATTGTGCTGATTCTGAAATTTCTGAAGGATGGGTGTTTTTTATTGTGTTGTTTTCAATTCTCCAATAGGGCCATATATGGAGCCAATGTGGGGTTAAAGTGAAATAGTCCCTTTAAGGACCGTTGCCCTTTGCATTGGTAGAAAGAGGAACACATTACATATACCTATTGTAAAATGTACTCTCTCTCTCTCCCTTCACCCTGATGGAAAAGTGCTTTATCTGGTCAGCATAACTGCACTTTTGCACATACAAATATTTCTATCTATATATCTCCCTTTGATGATCATTTTTGTAAAAGCCTGTGAACCGTTGATTGGTGAACTTTTGCTCTAGTAAGTTTCAAAGGAAAAAAAGTGTAATGGGAAATCAAAATTTTTGGGCAAAACCACATCATTCCACTTCTTTTGATGAACTTTACATTATTTTTCATTTCTTTTTTGGGATTATTTTGTTTGAAAGGTTCATCATTAGCTTGAGAGGATTGGTTTGATCATTCTAGCCTTTTGAAGTCACCCCTTTAGTTTTTTTGTTAAATTCCTGATATATCCTTTGCAATGCTTTGACCATTTACTATTGACCTAACATTTATGGCTTATTTAGCTTTAGTTTCTTTGAAATTTCACTGTAGCTAAAGTTAACACCCTATCTATGGCTTTATCATGCACATAGGTTGCATTTTATTGCTTCTTTTCATGCACCCGTCTCAATAGTAGGGGTGTATGGTGACAGAAAGAAGAGTCGGTGATGGACTCTATATACTTACCTTTGAGAATTTCACATTCTTCCAAACTAAATTATTATTCTATGTAAAAGTAATCTTTAGATGCTAGGTTTGGATTGAGTTAGATATGGCTTTGATCCCTTGAGCTGCAATTTGCGCCCTTTTGTACTCTTTTTTTCTTCAATTTATGGCCATTGTGGAGATGAGAACTTTGTTAATGAGGACTATGTATCATTTAAGGTTCTATCTTGGGAAATGTTCACGTAATCCCTCGTTGGTATGTATACATGAGATATATGATCATCTACTATATTGCTTGATGCTCCTATGATTTATCGAAATAGGAACCATTAATGGCTCTGCTGTAATTGTATTTTTTGCTGTGTGTATGTTTTAAGTCATTTTGACACGGCAACTGCTTTAATTCTATCATTTAGACCTGCTTGAATTATTTTCTTACCTGCTTGCCCTTTAAAACTGCAGAGAACCTGTTCAATATGCCTGACATCAATGAAACTGGGTCAAGGCCATGCCATTTTCACAGCAGAATGCTCCCATTCTTTCCATTTTCAGTGTATAGCTTCTAACATAAAACACGGAAATCAAATTTGTCCAGTTTGCAGAGCAAAATGGAAGGAAATCCCCTTCCAGAGCCCTGCTTCTGAACTTCCCAATGAGAGATCTAGAATTAGTCCATCAGATTGGCCCCGGGATGATGCCTGGACCACTGCCGTACGACGCCTACCTTCCCCTCGGTTAGATTCAACTAGGCGCATTTCTTCACTGTTCCATGCCTATGAACCAGGAACCTTTGATGATGATGAGGCCCTCGATCAGCAGCAAGAGAATCCTCAACAAAATGTCATTGACAAGGATGCTTCCAAGAATAATTCTATTGGAGCAATAGAAGTTAAGACATATCCTGAAGTTTCAGCTGTTCCAAGATCTAACAGTCGTTATAATTTTGCCATATTAATCCATCTCCGGGCTCCCATTACAAGTGGAGGGCTAAACAGCAGAAACCAAAATATATTTTCAACCACAGCCCAAAATTCTCGTGCCCCGGTTGACCTTGTCACTGTTCTTGATGTTAGTGGCAGCATGGCCGGTACCAAGATTGCATTGCTAAAACGAGCTATGGGGTTTGTAATACAGCATCTTGGGCCCTTTGATCGGCTTTCCATAATTGTTTTCTCTTCTACCGCCCGTCGCCTCTTCCCTCTCCGCCGGATGACGGAGGCTGGACGGCAGGAAGCGCTGCAGGCTGTTAACTCTCTTACTGCAAATGGTGGGACAAATGTTGCTGAAGGGCTTAGGAAAGGTGCAAAGTTGATCGTAGACCGGAAGTGGAAGAACCCAGTTGGAAGCATCATATTATTATCAGATGGGCAGGATACTTATACTGTCCCAAGTCCTAGCGGAGCACATTCCCGGACTGATTATAAATCACTACTTCCGCTCTCAATTCAGCGTAATGGTGGGACAGGTCTGCGTATCCCTGTGCACACCTTCGGGTTTGGTGCAGATCATGATGCTGCCTCAATGCATTCAATTTCCGAGATGTCTGGGGGTACATTTTCTTTCATAGAAGCCGAGGGTGTGATCCAAGATGCTTTTGCTCAATGCATTGGAGGGCTTTTAAGTGTGGTAGTGCAGGAGACATGTGTTAAACTTGAGTGTGCTCACCCAAATGTGCTAATTAATTCGATAAAGGCCGGGAATTACCAAACCAGCGTGACGGCTGATGCAAAAGAAGGTTCTATTGATGTAGGAGACTTGTATGCTGATGAAGAAAGAGATTTTTTGGTGACAGTCAATGTTCCAGTTGATGAATCCTGTGATGAGACGTCATTGCTCAAGATTAAATGTAGTTACAGAGACCCCATATCAAAAGAACTGGTGTCATTGGAAGAAAACAATGAAGTAAAAATCCAGCGGGCAACAGTAGTAGAACAAACGGTAGTGTCAAGGGAGGTTGACAGGCAGCGAAATCGGCTCCGTGCTGCAGAGGCTATGGCTGAGGCGAGAGCCGCTGCCGAACGTGGTGATCTAACTGGTGCAGTCTATTTGCTTGAGAGTTGTTGCAGGGCTTTATCAGAAACAATTTCTGCACGGGCTGGTGACCGGTTATGTGTTGCACTATGTGCCGAGCTTAAGGAGATGCAAGAAAGAATGGCAAACCGTCACGTGTATGAGTCATCCGGAAGGGCTTACGTTTTGTCAGGTCTGAGCTCACATTCCTGGCAGAGAGCAACTGCGCGAGGCGATTCCACTGATAGTACAAGCCTTGTCCAAGCTTACCAGACCCCTACCATGACAGACATGGTGACTCGTTCTCAAACCATGTTCTTTGGGAACCCTCCACAACGAAAGCTTCGACAAGCTCAGTCATTCCCAGCACGCCCACGGCCAAGGTAATCATTTGTAAAACGTTAAAAAATTCTCCCAAACCTGCATTCATTTCCTGTATCAGAAACCTTTTTGTGTTGTGAAAATTTTGTGGCTTGGGGCAAGCACGGGGTATAAACTGGAGTAATAGAAACGAGACTGTCTTTTTGAATGGTGGGTATATTTTCTTGTTCTGACGTGAAGTAATAAAGAGATGGGATGATTCATGAAGGCGAGAAAAAGGGAGAATCTGGGAGTTGAATTGTCTACATATTTTGATAATGGAACATTGTACATAAGGAGCAATGGTTTCCATTCCCCCCTCCCCCCTTCAAAACAAGGTATAGCCATGTAATTGTGAGATACTTGGGGTGAATTCTTCACTTAAATATATGGTATGGTATATCTGTTTTTGATTCTTTTTCACAACTTCTGATCATTTCTATTTGAAAATTGCTGGAAAACAAAAGCAAGCAATGAACTTGGCATTGATGTTTAATTCTCTTCGATTCCAAATTCTTATCATCTGTCAGTTTAGACCCAAATGTATTTTTTTATCCAAGGCATTGCTGGTACTCACAAAGTTAAGTTTTCATATAAATTACTTTAACTAGGATCTTAAATCAAGGTCACTGTCTGTTTATATCATGGATTAAAACAAGTTTAACTATTACTTTTGTTCTATTTTGATGTTTAAATTTTTATTTGTTTCAAAATCATACCTAATATTTATTTTTTTGTTCGTTTTGGTACCTCGTTAAAAACTTAACGGAACGGTTGTATGCGGCATTTTTATGAGTAAATTATATCATTAATCACTCAACTATCTTCTCACTCTTATTTTGGACACTAAAGTTCAAAAAATTTCAATTTAACTACCCACCTTTCAAATTATTCTTGTTTTAATCACTCTAATTTATTTTATTAATAATTTTTGTGATATGATATTTTTATTATTATTTTATTAATATATAATTAAAATATAAAATTAATGTTGAAAGTTAGAATAATTAAACTAGGAGTAATTTGAAAGTTAAGTAATTAAATTAAAAAAAATTAAACTTCAATGATCAAAATAAGAGTGAAAAGATAGTTGAATGATTTATGGTGTAATTTACCCCATAAAAAAGTGCCATGTGCAACAGTTTTGTCAAGTTTATTAATCAAAATAAAACAAAAATCAAATGATAGATATGATTTTGAAACAAATGAAAGTTTATGTATCAAAATTATATAAAGTTGATAGTTTAAGTACTAAACGTGTAGTTTATCATTAAATATAGGGTATTCCAAGTGTTTTATGTAAAGCCAGAGATATTGTTTTACGTACCGTTGAACTTTCATGATTTACTTTGACTTTTGATTCTTTTTAGTAATTACAGTTTTTAATGACATTTAGATTACCCGTAAAATCCTCTCTTTTTTAGAAGGGATCTAATGTCAACAACGTGATCATAATGATTGACACTCTTTGATCCAACGGTTCATGGCAACTTTAAGCCTCCACAGACCACAAATGACGCAAAATCCGGACAACGACAAAAAGTGGGACCTCTAACAACATTGAAGTTTTAAGGGTAAAATACACCCAAAACCATCCAATTATTATTTGATAAAATAAGTCAATATATTTCAATTAACTTCATTATTTTAGTCATTTTCCCCTTAAACTACTTATTATTTTTCATAAATATTATCACTTTCTTGGTATAAGAATAATTTAATAACAAAATATTATTGTTTTATGACATAGTACAATTATTCGACTATTACTTTAATCAAGTGAGCTTATTTAATTCGATGATATTATAAAGATTAAATTGATAAATAATTTAAATATGAATAATTAAATTTATTGAATTAGGATAAAGTTGATAGAAAATATTGAGGTTTTAAAAACTAAAAATATTAGTATACCCGATCACATCAGTCAATTTCAATTTTAGTATAAAAAATCTGTTTGTAATAATATTTTAATTGAACTTAGAATTTTAAAGAGAAAATGTTACTCACAATTAAGTAACCTGGTGTATTTTAACCAAGTTTTAACTCTACAAACGTTCATTTACAGTCCCCAGCATAACAGTAGCAGAGTGTGTCCGTATATGTCGTTTGAAGTTTGAAGTTAAGCCATGTTCTTCCTGATTTTTAACCGTTGAGAAAACTTGGCAAAGCTCCAAAATTAAGAAGAAGAAAAACCCAGTCTTTTTTATCCTGAACCTGAAGACTGAAATGGTTGAGAAGTCATTTTCATGCCGGTAAATGGATAATTTTCAGAGAGGTGGTTGATGGTTTTTTTCTGTTGATATTCTGTTCTTCGAATGGTTTCGAACATCATCCGTCTTTGTCCATTTTTATTGATGTGCTGTTTCTCGAGCTTCTCTCTGGAGGTTATACTGGCTTATATTTCGCCTTCATATTCCCAGGTTTGAACTCATACACCCAAGCTTTTATTCTATATTTTTGCTCTTTCATTTTGCTGATCCCTTCTAGCTAAAATGAACTTCAAGTTGATTTCCCCAACGTGGATTGAAATGTCTTGTTGATTTTATGGTTTTGAAGTTATGGAAACAAAAAATCGTAATTAAGTTTTCCAGCTAGGTAGGTGTCTATTTTTACTCCATTAATGCAGTTGCTCATCTAAAATACTTCAGATGAATCAAACTCGGTAATTCATGATTCATATTCTTTTGAAGCATTATATGACCTTCATTCTGGACTTGTATAACATAGAGATGACTAGATATTTTTTTCTCTGGCTTAGTGTTCAGATTAAATGAAGCTCGAAGTAGAAGTTGCTCTTGCTTGTATCATTAGCTTGATTTCGATTCAGCAAGGCCTTTGTGGTTAGTATGAATATAATCGTCTTTAAATCTCTCCCTATTTATCTTTTATTTTTCGTTATAATACCTTATTACCTTTGGGAATTGTGGGTTCTGGCTGTACCTTTGCTTGGTTATGTGTTGGCAACCAAAGTTTAGCACTTTTCTTTTGAAAGCATTTGCAGCCTGAAGACTCGTAGATGCTTCTCGTTGTTTGTTTTCTATTCACATAAAATGCTACTTAGCTTAATTTCCTTGTGATCGCTTAATGGCAGATGAATTTTCTAATACATCGGGTGGAAACAACTGGAAATGCACATGCTCTTCCTTATATCCAGGAGACCGCAACTCTATCCTTAAATCTAACTGTTCTAGATCCTGTGATTGCAATCCAGGTAACATGTTTATATTGTTCTGGTAGATTAATTCTGAAGTTTTCAAACTACTTGCATATGATTCTTCTGGTGCTAGGAATTGACAGAAGATGCTACTAATGCTGTTCAACCGAAGCCTCGAATTTAGCCCACGTGCATATCCCATTGCTTTGTCTAAGTGAGGGTATCATGAAGATTCCAAAGTAGTAGCATTTTGACATATGATAGTAGGAAAATGGGTTAAAGTAGGATCTAGTTTGGAACTTTCCCCCAACCTTTCTCCTTTTGCACCAAATCTGCCTAATTATCGCATAATATTTCAAGTATACTTGTGCTGAGGATGATTCATGCTTTATGCAATGTCTTTTCACCGTCTTATTGTATTTAAAACACCAAATTGTGTGGCATCCTGGCAGTTGAATCAAATGGAGATAGGTGGACATGTTTATGTGCCACTGATGGATTCCCCAAAGTAGCAGTCGACAATCACGATACTACCTGTTTCTCAGCCTGCAACTGTACTGCTGGTATTTTCTTCCAACATAAAATGTCCAAATATAAATTTGTATTTCTGAAGAATGAAATATAGTCCAGCTGCTGTTATGTGCCATTTCAGATGACTGGTGAACATTAATTATACTTAGCAAGTAACTAATGCCTATCTAATCTTTGGTACTATGGCTTGTTATTCAAAGGAAGTGGCCAGTGTTGAGATCAAGGATTAGGAGCTTATTTACTGGTTACTGTATTTTTTTTTTGGACAGGGTCACTTCCTGGGGTGCCAGCTTCAAGAAAGCATTTCCCTAACAACATTATCGTAATTGTTCTATTACTCTCTGTAATTTTTATAACTCTTGCATTCCTTGCTTCGGTAACATGCTATTTCTATCGAAAAGACAAGTGCCCCAAGTGCCCCATCCAACCGTCAATATTCTTGTCGGATATAGAAATTAGTTGCAATAGTGCTACCAACTTAATAAGTCATAAGAGTTCTTTGGTGTCAGAAACAAAGATTAACACCGGCTACCATACTAGGCCTATTCCAGGTATGTAAGCTGTAATATGTTATAACTTCCTTTCTTCGATGACATGATTTTTTCTAGTTATAATTCTGTTCAGAACTCTCAGCTATTTTTTGCAATACTAGAACTTTAGTATTCATCATGCTGAACTTTATTTGGATATGTAAAGAATGATGTCTGGTCTATTTCAGGTTGCTTTCAAAAGGCTTCATTCCTTCATCGGAGCAAAATGGGGACTGTACTTGGAACAGTTTTTCAGTTTGCCTACTCCGAACTGGAAAATTCAACCAACAAGTTCTCCGATTCTAACCTCATAGGACTTGGAGGAAGTAGTTATGTGTATCGGGGCCAGCTCAAGGATGGAAGAATTGTTGCAGTAAAACGACTTAAAGTTCAAGGAGGACCTGATGCAGATTCCATCTTTTCGAAAGAGGTACAATCTCAAGTTGCCTTTTTTTTTGTTAATGAAAAGTCTAATTTATTTTAAACAACGTTGTGTTGTTCCCAAAAACACAATAAGGTATTAACAGTGTTGTTCTGCTTAGGTAGAGTTGTTATCGAGGCTACATCATTGTCATGTAGTGTCTTTGCTTGGCTATTGTTCGAAATCCAGTGGGAAACATGCTAAGAGACTGCTAGTATTTGAGTACATGCCAAATGGTAATTTGAGGGATTGTTTGAATGGGATTTGGGGGCAGAATATTTCCTGGGAAGCTCGTGTTTCGATTGCTATGGGAGCTGCAAAGGGCTTGCAATATCTTCATGAAGCGGCTGCTCCTAGAATTTTGCATAGAGATGTAAAATCCACAAATATTCTTCTTGATAAGAACTGGAGAGCAAAGGTAAGGATAAAACAAATAAATACATATTGAGTACACATGAAAATGTGATTCTAAAATAAATCATGTACAAATGGATTTCTAACATAAATACTGAACATGTTCAGATAACTGATCTTGGCATGGCCAAGCGTTTAAGAGCTGATGGAGTTCCCAGCAGTTCCAGTTCTCCAGCAAGAATGCAAGGAACCTTTGGTTATTTTGCGCCAGAGTATTCAATTGTTGGAAGAGCCTCACTTATGTCAGATGTTTTCAGTTTCGGTGTAGTTCTTTTGGAACTGATCACTGGTCGACAACCGATCCATAAATCAAACAATAAAGAAGAAAGTCTTGTTATATGGGTAACGTACCATGTTT